CCCCACAACTCCTGTCTTAACGTGGCTACAAACTAGAGCAGTGGTTCTCAACCTTCTGGCCCTTTAAATACAGTTCCTCATGTTGTGACCCAACCATAACATTATTTCCGTTGCTACTTCATAACTGTCATGTTGCTACTGTTATGAATCGTCATGTAAATATCTGATATGCAGGATGGTCTGAGGCGACCCCTGTGAAAGGGTCGTTCGACCGCCAAAGGGGTCGCGACCCACAGGCTGAGGACCGCTGCCCTAGAGGTTCCCACTGTTGTGGCAGAATGCACAGGAGGACGATCAGCCAGCACTCTGAGGGAGGACAGTTTAACTTTTATTTCCCAGATCTGCTAGTGCAGGGGAATTCCGGATCCAAAGCCTGAACTGAACTCCCGGTGAGGCTCTGACCTATATCTCCTCCTGTGGCGGGTCCCTGAGGGTCCCCGCAGCTCCGCCCAAGTCAGCTTTGGCGGGACCTTGGGGTTAGGCTCTGCAGCCCAGCCCAAGTCAGTCAGAGTGGGGAAGTAAGACTACAGTTTTAACCAGATACCGAACTAGGTTGCAAGCATTCCCCCCACCACCCCCATTTTCCTTTTCACCATGACATTCTCCTTGGATTCGATCATTTGCTAGAACAGCTCACAGATCTCAGGAAAACACTGAAGATAACCAGTTTATCTATATATATATAATACCCCAATATGCAAATAGACCAAAAGGCGGAACAACCGAACAACCAACCGGTGACTATGACGTACGCTGACCACCAGGGGGCATGTGCGGAACATGTCAGGCGTTGGCAGCAGGTGGCAGAGTGTGGAACATGGCGGGCATTGGCTGTGGGATGTGCCCACTGGGGATGTGCCTGCAACCAAGGTACATGCCCTTGACCGGAATCGAACCTGGGACCCTTGAGTCCACAGGCCGACGCTCTATCCACTGAGCCAAACTGGCCAGGGCGGTTAACAGATTCTTGCTCAAAACAAAAGGAGGGGCCAATAAACCAGACACACCCTTGAAGAGATGCTCAATACCTTAATCATCAGAGAAACACAACTCAAAACCATGACAAGACGTTTCACACCCACTAGGATAACTATAATCAGAACAACAAAGAACCCAAGTGCTTTCCAGATTTCTGAGGAAAAGGAACCCTCACACGCCACTGGTGGAAATGTACAGTAGTCTGGCAGTTTCTTAAAAGTTAAACATAAAAAAAGAAGTTAAACATAAACTTACCATATGTCCTAACAGTTCCACTTCTAAGTATGTGTATATCCAAGAGAAATAACATATGTCCACATGCTTGTGCACAAATGACCACAGAAGCATTATTCACAATAACTAAAAAGTGGGAACCACCCAAATGCCCATGAATTGGTGAACAGATAAACAATCCGGTATATTTACAAGTGAAATATTTTTTGTTGTTGTTAATACTCACCTGAATATTTTTCCCATTGATTTTTAGAGAGAGTGGAAGGGAGGGGGAGATACAGAGAGAGAAACTTCAATTGGTTCCCTCCCGCACAGCCTTGACGGGAATCGAATCCTCCCTGATCTACGGGCCGACGTTCTAACCATTGAGCAACCGGCTACGGCAACAGTGGAGTATTATCCTATCTAATAATAGACAAACATGGTAATTAACCGTAACTTCGCTACCCTTCCCATAGGCTAATCAGGGCGATATGCAAATTAACTGCCAACTAAGATGGCGGTTAACCGCCAACAAAGATGGCGGCTAATTTGCATACTGCAGGCAGGGCGGGACAGCGCCATCCCACCTGCCCCGCTGCCATCCAGGCCTGCTATTTTCGACCCGGTCTGCAGGCGGCAGGTATGAAAACAGACCCAGGGCTGGCAGTGGGACCGCAGCGATCGGCCACCAGCCACACCCACAAACAGCCCTCCAGTGGGCAGGCTGACCGGTGCTAATGCACCGATCTGCCACTTTCCACGCCCACAAACGGCCCTCCAGGGAGGATCCCTGGCTGACCAGTGCTAATTGCACTGATCTGCCACCAGCCACACCCACAAACGTCCATCCCAAGGGGATCCGAGGCTGGAGGTGCTAATGCAGCGATCTGCCACTGGCCACGCCCACAAACGGCCCTCGGGGGGGATCCCTGGCTGACAGGTGCTAATGCACCGATCTGCTACTGGCCATGCCCACAAATGGCCCTCCGGGGCAATCTGGGCTGGCGGGTGCTAACACACTGATCCGCCACCAGCCACACCCACAAATGTCCATCCTGGCGGGTGCTAATGCACCGATCTGCCACTGGCCACGCCCACAAACAGCCCTGGAGGCGGGAGTCCCCGCCTGACAGGTGCTAATGCAATCTGCTGACAGGTGCTAATGCACAGATCTGCTGACAGGTGCTAATGCACACCCGCACACCCGGCAGCTGCTGGGAGCAGGGTAAACTTCCCGGGGTTTGCCTCAGGCAGCCCATAGCAGAGTGCTAACTATCCCTGCCGGTAGCTGCTTGTTCATTCACTTACTTGCTCATTCACTCACTCATTCACTCACTCATTAGTCACTCACTCAGCACACCCTCTCAGGTCCCTGGCACCAGGCCAGGCACTGAAGTTGAAGCAGGATAAGACAGAGCTATGTCCTCAAGATGTTAGTAATTCAGTATGCAGCCAGGAGAGGGGCCCCAGGCTGCTGGGAACAGGGGGGAACTTTCCCAGGGTGGGCTTCAGGGAGCCAGGAGTGAGGCCGGAACTTCTGCCGTGTTGCCATGGCAACACGTTCCCCCCCTTAGCTGCTTGCTCATTCATTCACTCACTCACTCACTCACTCAGCAAACCCTCTCAGGTCCCAGGCACCAGGGCAGGCACTGAAGTTGAAGCAGGATAAGAGAGCTATGTCCTCAAGATGTTAGTAATTCAGTATGCAGCCAGAAGAGGGGCTCAGGGCCACTGGGAGCAGGGTGGGAACTTTCCAGGGGTGGGCTTCAGGCAGCCGGGAGTGGGGCGGGAACTTCTGCGCGTTGTTATGGCAATGCCACAGACGTTCTGGCCCTATAGCTGTTTGCTCGTTCACTCATTCACTCACTCATTATTCACTCACTCACTCTCTCACTCACTCACTCAGCAAACCCTCTCAGGTCCCTGGAACCAGGGCAGGCACTGAAGGTGAAGCAGGATAAGATGGAGCTATGTCCTCAAGATGTTAGTAATTCAGTAGGCGAAGCAGGCACATGAACGAGACAGTTGTATGCACAGATGCAGTGTACTGGGTTCTGTGAGGGCTGTAACTAACGCCGACTTTGTTCTCTTGATAAAATGAAGCCTCGGGAGCCAGGCCGCCCCAAGCCCGTAGGCCTGTGCCTAGGCCAGGAGTGGCTGGGGTCCCGGAACATGACAGAGGGTGCAGGTCGGGCTGAGGGGTCTGGCCCCACTCCTCACCCTCACCCCTGAGTGCACAAATTTTTGTGCACCGGGCTACTAGTCTATATATACAAAAGGCTAAGTGTCTGTCCATCCAACCAGTAGCTATGATGTGCACTGACTACCAGGGGGCAGACGCTCAATGCAGGAGCTGCCATGATGCGCACTGGCCATTTACTAGTAAAATAAATGGCATCACGGACCTGGCACCGACAAACCAACACTTGGCTTCCCCCACGTGGGACACAGGCCCTGCCACCACCCCAGGGGACACCCCACCAAATCACAGCCAAAGCTGCCAAGACCCCATGGCACAAAATTCGGCCCACAGCCCAGCCCAGCCCAGTCCAGAAACGGTGGCTGTGGGTGCCGAGTAATGACATGAGTAATGACGTCACATAGCAACGCCCAGCTTCTTCTACCTAGCCACTAGCCCCCTTGGAGTTTCTTCAGCCCAGGAACCCCACTTGCTTTATAGCCAGGTGCAAACATTTTACAGTTTTTGGTCTTTGAAATTGTCTTTATTTCTGAACATTCCTTTATAACCATCCACCCCAGGATTAACTCCCACAGATGCACCTTGAGCCCAAATCCCCACCCCTCCTCAAGCAAATCAAACTCATGTTTCTGATTGTGGGACACTTTGCCTTTGCGGTCCCTCAAACTCCCCAGCCTTTGCCCCTGCAGTCCTGTACCCGGGCTGGGTCCCTCCCTTTCCCCAGTCACACTGAGCATGAACCTGAAACGTGAGTGGCCCCTGCATACTGCACCCCAGTCCGAGGTTTCAGGTTCCAGGGTCCTAGAAGGAAGCCCTTGTTAGGTGCACCTGGTGAGCAGGGTCACTACAGGGGCACATCACGGGCTCCATGTCATGAAAATGCCACGTGACAAAACTCCCATGTCTACAGTGCTTGGTGGTAAGCAGGATTCTCCTGGGTCGTCCTAACTCCCTCAGTATCCCCGTGAGCTTAGCCGGGATCAGGGCAAGTCTCTCCTGGTCCACAGTCCCCTGGGTCCTGTAACACTCCAGGGGAACGGGGTACACCTCGACCTCTAAACTGCACAGCCCGGATGTGTGGCGCAGCAGCTTCTCCACGGTGGCCACGGGGAAGCTGTTTCTAGAGATGGAGAAGAGGCTGAGCTGGTGGCAGCGGCTCAGGGCAGGCAGGATGGCCTCAACTTGGGAGCCCGTCATCCCACAGTGATCCAGACCCGGGTCCTGGAGGGGGGCTGAAATCCGAAAGGCTGAGGCCAAATAGATGCAGGATCTTCAGCTGCCTGAGGTTCGGGCACTGGGACAGGTGTGTCAGGTCTGAATGCGTCAGCCGCTGGCCACGTGTTATGGAGAGTTTGTCCAAGGGGGTCTGCAGGCACCTGAGCATCTGGTCCAGAAGGGGGTCTGCAGGCACCTGAGCATCTGGTCCAGACGGCCTCGGAGGAAGGAGGGAGAACGCATGTCAAGCTCCCGGAGGTGCCGCAGCCTGAGCATCTGAGAGAGGAATTGGGAAAAGGACCGCTGCTCCTCCTCCCACTCCATCTCCTCTTCGTCCTCCCACTCCTGCTTCTCTGCCTCCTCCCACTCCTGCTCCTCTGCCTGCTGTTCTTCTTCCTCGCCCTCCTCCTCCTGCTCTTCGTCCTCATCCTCCTCAGCCAACAATTGGATGTGGGGGAGACAGAGTCTCTGCAGGTTACTCATCTGACCCAGGAAGAGAGCAAATGTCCCCAGGGTGGGCAGGTCCCAGGTGCAGTTCACTTCCACCTCCTGGATGCAGTCCAGCTGCACCCCATCCAGGACCCTCCTGACCCTCTGGAAGGGCACCCCAGAAATCCTCACTGCCTTGCAGCACAGGTGTAGCAACCCTTCCCTCTGCTGGGCCCATTGGATGATGTGCATGGAAAACTTATCCCGGTCCCTTTCATTGAAGTTAAGGTCTAGGAACACCTCCAAGGGAGCCAGGGGATGCTCCATGTTGGGGCTGGAGCTGTGCACAGTCACTGGTCCTGTCAGTGAGCAATGCCAGGCGTTGTCTCTACACCAAGTATTCCAGAAGTTGGCACCCGTGTTCCTTAAATCCAGCACCCGCAGTTTGCACCTCCTGGGCCGAATCTCCTGGGCAAGCAGAACGTCAAGTGCATCGAACACGGCTTTTAAGCCCACGGCGCTGGTTGGGGCGTGATCAGGGGGACGCTGCATCAGGACCCCCAGAGGGAGGACAGTGAAGGGCCAGGCTTGGGCCATCGCCTTCAGGAGCTGGCGGTGGTGTCCACTACGGTAGGCCAGGACGAACAGGTCCGGGAAGAGCTCGGCGGGCAGGTACTCAAGAGCTGTGATGGCCGAGGCCTGGTCCCTCAGCAGGCGCTTTGCTGCCAGCACCAGGAGTGTGGGTGGCGTCTGGATGCTCATCTTCAAGGTGCTCGGAAAGGAATCCTGCAGCGTCTGCTGTGACCGGGTTGGCTGGGGCTCAGATCTCAGACCTGATGGAGAACCACTGACTGCAGAGCTGGAGGACTCTGAATCTCTCCTCTGGTGCCTGAGGTTTTTATTCACCTCCTCAAATGTTAACATCCAATCAGAACCCCTGGTCTAAACCCCATAATCCTAATGGGATTTATGTGTTCCTCCCTATTAATTGATTGACCCACATATCCATTTAGGAAAGAGAAAGTTAGGGAGGGGCAAGGTTGAAGACTGGCTCATTGATTCAACCTGGTGTACGGAATCACCAGGTGGTGATTGAGGTGGACGGATGGCCCATAGCTATCATACTTAGTGTGAGAGAGTAAAGGGTGTAATGGGTCAACATTTTACAGTTTAACCAAATGTCTGTGAAGCGTTTTCCCGTGTCTCATCTCATTTGATCCTCACAGAAGTCCTGGAGTAGGTAGATAGGAGATTCGGTAGAATCCTTTTTTCTTTTCATTAGCAAGACGCAAATAGCGATATTAAAATATTTATTCTAATTAATTCCTTTTAATGTGCACAAATCCGTGCACCAGGACACTAGTTAGTACATAAAAGGGAATGAAGCACTGACACATGCTACAACATGGATGCATCTTGAAACATCATACTAAGTGAAAGAAGCCAGACACCAAAGGCTTCAAGTATATGATTCCTTTTATATGAAACTAGAGGCCCGGTACATGACATTCGTGCACTTAGGGTGTGGGGGGTCCCTCAGCCCGACCTGCACCATCTCCAATCTGGGAGCCCTCAGGGGAGCCCTCTCCAATCCGGGAGTTTCTGTCTGTCTTTGCAATCATATGAGCGAATTGTCTGAGACCCCAACTCAGTTTGGTTTGTTGCTCACAGAACAATAGAGGCATTTTTTTTTCTTTGCTTCATTGGTGGAGATTTCCTGGAAGTTTTAGGATATCTTCCCTTTTATTTTTCCTAGACACTCTAATTTTACTTATGTCTCTCACCATTGCTTTCCCTCCATCCCCACCACAACAGTAACTTGCTCCAGGATCACTTTGCTCTAGTGTCTAGGACAGTGGTCGGCAAACTCATTAGTCAACAGAGCCAAATATCAACAGTACAACGATTGAAATTTCTTTTGAGAACCAAATTTTTTAAACTTAAACTATATAGGTAGGCACATTGTTATTAACTTAATTAGGGTACTCCTAAAGCTTAGGAAGAGCCACACTCAAGGGGCCAAAGAGCCGCATGTGGCTCGCGAGCCGCAGTTTGCCGACCACTGGTCTAGGAGATCTGTCTGTCACCAGAGCTATGATTCCCAGCATTCCTGGTGCTCCCCGCTCTCTGGGCTTCCACTTCCAGTCCTGGGGCTGCCACCAGAACTACTATTCCCAGAATTCCTGGTGCTCCCTGGGCTCTTGGTTTTCCCTTCCTGCCGGAAGCTGGTCCACCCTTGCTGCTTGACACAGTTGCTGCAGGGAAGAAACATCTGCACAGCTTATGTTTCAAGGGACCTGGCGTATATGGCATATGTTTGCTCCCCCTCTTAGAGCTATGTGTTTTAACCAGGACCACCTCCCCGAGAAAGGTTGTTTCCCCAGGTGGGGATTTTTCCCTGGAGTTAGGGATTAACAGGACTAAGGAAGGGAATAAATCAATAAAACCCCTTAACTAAGTGCCAGGCGGGTAGTTAATCACTTTAACTATGAATAATCACGCTAAAGCTACATAATCTTTACTTAGGATAATCTCCTTCAGTTACTTCCTTGTTGCTTAACAGAACAATAGAGTAGGGACCTTGGAATGGAGCTAACAAACGCCCTAACCTTTGGAATAGAATGGATAGGATAAAAACCAACTGGTATAAATACAGATGTAACAGGAGAATAAAAACAGAACCTGGCTGGAGAACCTGGCTAGGTTGCTGATCAACTGAACGCTGTCTCCGTGTCACTCCTTCTTTGCCGACTCCATCCACACCTTTGGGAACCCCTGGACCTGATGGGGCTGGACCCCAACACCTTCCTGCTCTGTCCCCGTCCCCACAGCCTCCCACTCTGTCAAGTCCTCCAAGCCACCAGCTCTCCCTCTCTGCTTTTAGTCTGGGGCTTGGGGAGCCAAGTTCCCCAAGCCGCTCCACTCTCTGCCAGCTCTCCTGCTCTGCTCTCCGCCCAGCAGCTTGTGGGGAGCGACCGAGGAGCCAGGTCCCCCCAAGCCGCTGGCTCTCCCACTCTGCTCTCTGCCTGGCGCCTGTGTATGCAAATCAACCCGCCATCTTTGTTGGGCTAATTTGCATACTCACTCTTGATTGGTTGGTGGGCATTGCAGTCAATTTACATGTTTCTCTTTTATTATTATATAGGATTCCAGAATAGAAAAATCTATGGAGACAGAAAATAGATTAGTAGTTGCAGGGGTGGAACTGAGTGGAGGGAGGAATGTAGAGTGATTACTAATGGACACAAGGGATCCTTTAATTATTTATTTAATGTTTTTATTGATTTTTAGAGAGAGAGGAAGAGAGAAAGAGAAACATCAATTGATCACTTGCTTCCCGTACACACCCAGGGGATCAAACCACAACTTAGGTATGGGCCCTGACGGGGAATTGAACCTGCAACCTTTTGGTGTACAAGACAATGCTCCAACCAACCGAGCCACCCCCTCCCGCTCCCCCACTCCACCCTTCCCAAGGACACTTCCTTGACTATTATCAGAAACTGAGATCATTATCTCTAGGAAAAATGTGGCAGTTTTAAAATCCAAGTGGCTAAAGGCCTGGGAACCGACTTCAGGGCCTACTCACTCCTCCCCCTGCATTTTCTCCAGCCTCATATGCCTATACATAATTTTCCAAAGTCTTTATTAACTTAAAGACTTTGGAGCATTGCTGTGTTAAACAATACTGAAACAGTGATGTATACTTTCTTGAAAGTAAGAGAAATACTTAATGGAAGGTCTGAGGCATCGTTATGCATTTTTAAAAATATATATTTTATTGATTTTTTACAGAGAGGAAGGGAGAGGGATAGAGAGTTAGAAACATCCATGAGAGAGAAACATTCATCAGCTGCCTCCTGCACACCCCCTACTGGGGATGTGCCCGCAACCAAGGTACATGCCCTTGATCGAATCGAACCTGGGACTCTTCAGTCCACAGGCCGACGCTCTATCCACTGAGCCAAACTGGTGAGGGCTGGTAATGCATTTTTGAAGGACATAGAAAGAAGGTTTGAAGGCTAATTTGAAAGTGTGAAATTTGTGAAGGTTGTGTATGTGATGAGAAGGAAAAGAGCAATCGAGAAAGAAAGAGAGAAAGAGAAAGAAAGGAAGGAAGGAAGGAAGGAAGGAAGGGAAGGAAGAAGTTCTAAATTAACTATTTATAAGAATTATAAAAGGGCCATTTTACTCTGAGCAAGAAAGTGAGGTTTCAGTCTCCAAGCCTGGCAGGACAAGGTTGCTGGATACTTCTTAAGCTAAACCAGAATAACAGCAAGGATCAAGGTTCAGTAAAAATAAGAAGTTAAGCCAGCACAGTGTCTTACTTCTTATGCAACCATCCAGGTCCCCGGCTTCCACTGCTCCTTTCCTTCCTATTCTCTTTTCCCTTGGATAACAGCCCATTCTAACATTCCCTCCCACTTTCACTGCAATACCTACCTCTCTCAGGCTCACCGAATGCCTCCCACCATCCCCGAAGAGGACTCAGCGGCACCATCCAGAACCTGATGACCCATCATTCCTCACAGGCTCTTACCTGGCAAGGGACCCTCCAATTTTTACTCCGGAAGAAGCTCAGGTTTTCAAATTCCTTTTTATATGTCTCGACTCCTCACCATAATCCTCCTACAGGCAGCTAGCAATGAGTGCACCAATGAAGGTTTTTGGTCTTTGTAGGTGAAACGGACTTGAGATGATGAGGGAGTCATCAATTCTACTATAATTGTCTTTATCAAAACCTATATTAATCCCTGACCTATCCCTCCCCCACTAAAGGACATTCTCTCTCGCCCTGCAGACCCCGAACCTACTCCTTTGCCCACCCTCATCAACACAACTTTCCATCTACTCTCTAACATCAATCCCTCCTTCTCTACATCCTGCTCGATTTGTCTGTCACTGGCTCGAACCCTCATCATAGCCACTCCAATCCCAACCTATTGGACCACTAACTTAACTCTTACCTATACCAGACCTCAACGCACCCCATACAACATCTCTCTCTTTAATACAGAAAACACTACCTGTTTAACAAACACCTCTCAAACCACTACCTCAACTACTCCTACACCTTACTACTGTGCACAATCTATAAATTTACCCCCTCCCTTAGCCTGTCCTCCACCGGGTATTTTTCTCCTCTGTGGGACTACAGCCTACACCTGTGTTCCCCAGGACCTGTCACACTCGCTCTGCCTTTATGTCTTCCTAACCCCCAATCTTTCTATCAGAACAGAGGGAGAACTCGAATCCTCTCTTGGTCTTCTCAGGCCTCGCCACAAAAGGGCGGTCCTTGTTCCCCTCTTAGTGGGTACGGGAGTCCTCACTGCAGTAGGGACAGGCGTAGGAGGCATTTCCTCCTCTGTTCATTTCTACCACAAATTGTCTGAATTTTCAGAAGATATCTCCATCATTAGCAATTCCCTTGAATCCCTTCAAAGGCAGGTAGGCTCCTTAGCAGCAGTAGCCCTACAGAACTTGCATGCTTTCAATCTCTTGACAATAGAAAAAGGAGGTACCTGTGTCTTTCTTGGGGAAGAATGCTGCTACTTTGTAAATGAATCAGCAATTGTCAAAGATCACATTAAATCCCTCCGGGACTGGATTGACCAAAGACAACGTAACCAGCTAGAAGGGGGGTATGCCATCTTTGGCTCACTTACTCCATGGCTCCTCCCACTATTAGGCCCACTGGTATTTATTCTTTTGATTTTGCTCTTTGGCCCCTGTTCATGTGCTGTTTTACTAGTTTTTTGCAG